ACACAGAGGTAAGCGGTCAGCCGGTAAATGCGAAAAGGAATGATGTCATACCACCCCGTAGCGTTCTCTTAAAAAATGAAATGCAGCCATAGGTACCTCCGGTTGCAAAATTCGATGTCTCCAAAAACGTCCGCGGGACTACATTTTCAAAAACTAACTTAATGTCAACTGTGATTTGGTTAATTGGGGTCGGTAGATCTATAGTACATATTAATTTTCAACAATGACACTTATATTAAACTGATTCATAATTTAACAATCTAGAACAAAAGCAACCTTATGTGAAACTGAATGTGCCGAATGAACTTAACTTCATATACTAGAGTTTTTGATTATTGCCTGTTTTCTTTATAAAGCTGCCTTGAGACCATTTTCATGGTTTAAAGCATTAAATAAAAGTGACTTGATTTTATTTTTTTGTTTTTTTGTTTTTTTTTTAATACCAGGCGATGTGCTGTGTGTATTTGGAGGTGGATGTGATCACGAGCGCTGCTTTTGATCCAGAAGGGCCATGTCTTGCTTCATGGGTTTTCTGGGTGATTTGGAGCCCAGAGGCAGTGCAGGCTGATACAGCATGTGTGTGGGAGAGAGAGAGAAACGAGAGAGCGGTTTCATGTGTGAATTTCAGACCTCAGGGATGCTCACAACGACCTCTGATTAGCACCGGATCGGCAGGTTGTTTTCCAGAAAATGTTTTTGACTTCATCTCTGGTGTGGGAAGAAGAGGAAAGTGCTCAGAGTACTGTGAATTTACACCATCTAATTACACGGGCACTGCACAATTTTGGTCGCAACTGAAAAAATAATTCAATACAGTATTACAGAAAAACAAGTGTTTAAAAAAGCTGTAGTAGCAAGAAATATAACACTTTTTGTATTTTTATTTTGAACAGAATGTTAGTGTGTTTGTTTGCTAGGTAGCAAAATGCATCTGATGCACTGAATTCAGTATTAAAATCTAGTGTTTTTAGATCACTTATTAGATTAAATGTAACAAGTGAATCAATTCTAGAATAAGCATCTAGAGCGAGGAATTTAATATATAGCTAATAAATGACATGCAATTAATGCTAGCATTTATTTTTGTTACACTTTACCTGAAGAGGTGTTCATAAGATTGACATAAAATCTTCATAATCATGACATTATATGTCTTGAATGTAACTGAGATTTTATTCATGCTTATTCAATCATTGGATTTCTTGTCGACTTAGTCCCTGTAATCTGGGGTCGCCACAGCGGAATGAACCGCCAATTTATCTAGCAAGTTTTTCCGCGGCGAATGCCCTTCCAGCCACAACTTATCTCTGGGAAACATCCACACACACACACACACATACACTTAGGACAATTTAGCCTACCCAATTCACCTGTACCGCATGTTTTTGGACTGTGGGGGAAACCGGAGCACCCGGAGGAAACCCACGTGAACCCAGGGAGAACCTGCAAACTCCACACAGAAACGCCAACTGACCCGACGTTCAGTGACCAAGCGACCTTCTTGCTGTGATGCGACAGCACTACCTACTGCGGCACTGCATTGCCTATTCATGCTTATAACAACTGTTATTAAGTGACATTTGCTCAGTTATGTAATTTTAAAAGGAACAATGACGTTGTTTGTTATGACAACTTTACATAAGCAAATACATCACAACTATTCATTATCTTAGCTTGTCATAAATATATCATAAAAATGACTGTCATTAGGCCTTCATAATTGTGCCATTAATATTTTTCACAGATGTTTTGCTGTCTTGGTAATGTCAAGTTGTACTGACAAAAAGGAAAGATTTGTAAAGACAAAATCTGGTTGTGATGGCAAGTTGTGAAGCATCTATAATATCATAACTGAGCGAATAAAAACGACTTAGAGCCATGGCTAAAATCTCAATCACATTCATTGAGGGTCATGTCATGTTTCTAAAGGTTTCATGATACTCTTATGAACACCCCTTAAGTAAAGTGTTACCCTTTATTGTCTTTTGAAACATCTGTAAGCTATGGCTGCCAAACAAAAACCATAAAATTAAGGTAAAATTTCTTTGTTGAAAAAAAGTGCAAAAAATAATATATCTACAGATATTTTCATTAAAATGTTTACAGAGAAACACTGTTATTTTACAGACTTTTCCTAGATTATTACTATCAAATCCATTTAATAAAGTAACACACCAAGAGTGCTCACATACACCTGTTTCAGATTCCGCTAATTGCACACACACAGTCGGAGGATCGTTATGAACTGATTACATGCACTTTAAAAGCAGCACAGACGCACGCACCAATTGCCTAGTCTTGTTATACTGCTACTGTGAACATTATGACGCGGTTCTCTTCTTTTGCCTTGTTTTGTTTGTTAATTGTTTACGTTGTTTGCTGCCGGGACTGACCATTTGCCTGTTATTTGACCATGACTCTGGATTCCCTGCAAAATGTTACATCTGTTTGCCCCTGTGTTGACTGTTGCGTGCCTTTGGATCTGCACTCATTTGTCAGCGTCCCCTTCATGTTAAAGTTCCATTTCATTTAAGATCTGTAACTGAATCATTCCATATTATTTAAACCTCTACATGTTTTACATAAGCACTATTGTGAGAATTTTAATCAGTTGTATCTCGTTTGTTGTTTTTTCCAAATATTTTTGATCTAAAATAAAACTGTTAAATTACAATCATGAGCATGTCTTGGCATGTTATTAAAGGTGTTTAATCGTAATGATTTAGGGAAAATTCTTTTAAATAACATTGTTTTCTCTTGAACTTTTAGTGCAGTCACTTTATTGATGATGTTTGATCATAATAATCTAGGAAAAGTCTGTAAAATAACAGTGTTTTTCTGTAAACATTTTAATGAAAATATCGGTAGATTTATTATTTTTTGCACTTTTTTTCAACAAAGACATTTTACCGTAATTTTATGGTTTTTGTTTGGCAGCCGTAGCTGCCAGTCATCTGTCATCTTTTTTTTTTACGATTTTTTTTCTTACAGTGTAACATATGCACTGCTGAGCAACAAAGACAGTGAAACTGCCTTTGTTAGCATATGAGGCTACGCACTGGTGTGCGGGAGAAACAGAGTAAAAGCCATTCTCCCAGATCAACAGTTACCTTTCCCTATTATACCCTGAGCAAAGCATTGTCAAACATGAGTGAAAAACCAACCCCCAAAACCAGCTGAACATGAGAGCAAAGTTGAAGAGATGAAGTGGGGGAAAAGTACATTAACATACTCTCCTCAGGCCATGACCCAACAATAGTAAATATATTGTAGATTGAAATACAATTAATCGATGTCTCTGTTGATTTCATCACTACAACACTGAAGTCATAAACTGTCAAATGACACCAAACATGACAAAGTTTTCTGAAGGAAGAACACAAGCAGATGAATTGTGTATGGTGAAGAGCACATGGTTACTGCAAGCAAATTGCAGAGATGTGTATCGGAGCTGTGAGGAACTCTGCCTCACCAAGAGGACCCATCCCATGCTTGGAATGTCTCAGTAGTCCTTCATTAGCATTGAAGGAAAAGTATATATTTTCTCAGCTTACACATCTAACATGTCATAACTGAGCAAATGAGATTTTATGACACATAAGCATGCCTAAAATCTCAATTACATCCTTTGCATTTGTCATGTCGTGATTCTAAAGATTTCATGACAGGGTAACACTTTACAATAAGGTTCATTAGTTAATGCATTTACTAACATGAACTAATCATGAACAACACATGTACAGCATTTATTAATCATAATTGAACATTTACTAATGTATTATTAACTTCCAAGTCCATGCTTGTTGATATTAGTTAATGCACCGTGAGTTAACATGAACTAACTGTCACGTATAAAATAATGTTCAGGTGAATCCAAGTGCGAGTTAACAAAAATAATATTTATTGACACCGTCAAACAAAAAGCAAGGAATGAAAGTAGTGCTAGTGCTAGGAGAGATCGGGCAGGAATCAGGTACCAGAAAACAGTCCTCAGATCCTAAGCACAGACAGAATAGCACACAATAAGCACACGTAACGAACTGACAAAGACACACAGAAAACGTGGCCCATATATAGGCCCGAATATGAGCCTCAGCTGGCGGGTTCATCAAGCCAGCAGAGTGCCGTCATCACACGTGATCAAAACAGATACACGTGGAGAACAAAAACAAACCAACATGATCAAACAGACACTCCGGAAGAGCGCACAAACCTGCAACCGTGACACTAACAATGAACAACTGTATTTTCATTCACTAACGTTAACTAACATGAACAAATACAGTAGTAGATGTATTTGTTCATTGTTTGTTCATGTTAGTAAATGCATTAATTAACACTAACTAATGAACCTTATTGTAAAGTGTGACCCATGACAGTCGTATGAACACCCATTTAAATTTAAAGTGTTATCTTAATTTTTGTGTTTGAAACATCAAGACAAACAATTTATTAATTTATTTCCTGTCATGGGTGTTATTGCTTTCTATTACCTTCAATTATATGTAACACCACTTCACTGAATATGCCTTTTTTTAATCCTAACACGTAATGAGGCGTTCTGCGAAATAATAATTCGTAAAGAACATCAACAGAGAAAAAAAAAACATCAAATGCAAATGCCACCGCAGTTGTAGAATGACCCGCCTGTTATTTTAATATCAGTAGTGAGTGTATTTATGTTCAGACATGATTGTTTTTCTCCCTGTCTCTCATTTTCCGTTTTGACTCCCGCTTTTTTGTTGTCTTCTCTTTGTTTCGCCTTTTCTCTGTATTTTTTTTCTACCTCTTCTGTCCCTGTGTCTTCGATTGATACAACAGAAACACACACACACACACGCGCACAAACACACACAAACACACACAAACACACACACACACCATCTGCTGGGTCACATCTGAGGACTGTCAGAGTCGCTGTATTGTTACACTCGCGTATCGCCAGGGTCTGATGTATGTTTCATGTGTTTTTTTTTATTTATCATTTTTGTTTTTTGCAGCTCACTCCTGTTGGCACCACTATCTTTACCGGCTTCTCAGGAAACAATGGAGCCACGGACATTGACGACGGACCAAACGGACAGATTGAATACGCCATTCAGTATAACCCAAATGACCCGGTACTTCATTTGATCAGGCTGAGCTTCTGCAGTTACACTAAACTTCTTCATTGTGATTAATGATTTAGCAGCGTTTTCCAGGTGCCTTCTGTTTGTGGTGTTGTATTATAGGAAATACTGTAAAAAATAAAATAAAATCCTTGCTTTGTTAAACATCAATTAGGAAAAATTTGAAAAAGAGCAGGAAGGCGAATAGTTTTGACTTCAACTTTTTTTCAACATTTTTTTATATTTGTAATTGCTTTTAATAGTGCAGTTGTAAAACTTTGACTTCCTGCATTTATTTTAGTTTTGTAACCTTGCCTTGATTAGTAAAAATATATCAATTGTGTTATTAATTACTGTACATATACATTCACTGGCCACTTTATTATGTACACCTTACTAGTACTGGGTTGGACCCCTTTTTGCCTTCAGAACTGCCTTAATGCTTTGTGGCCTAGATTCAACAAGGTACTAGAAATATTGCTCAGAGATTTTGGTCCATATTGACATGATGGCATCACGCAGTTGCTACAGATTTGTTGGCTAAATGTTCATGATGCAAATCTCCCGTTCCACCACATCCCAAAGATGCTCTATTGGAATGAGCTCTGGTGACTGTGGAGGCCATTTAAGTACAGTGAACTCATTGTCTTGTTCAATTGAGATGATTCGTGCTTTATGACATAGCGCATTATTCTGCTGGAATTAGACATCAGAAAATGGGTACTGGGTGGCCATAAAGGGATGGACATGGTCAGCAACAATAGTCAGGTAAGCTGTGGCATTGACACGTTGTTCAATTGGTACTAATGGGCCCAAAGTGAAAATATCTCTCACACCATTACACCACCAGCACCAGCCTGAACCATTGATACAAGGCAGGATGGATCCATGCTTTCATGTTGTTGATGCCAAATTTTGCGCCTACCATCCCAATGTCGCAGCAGAAATCGAGACTCAATCAGACCAGGCAACATTTTTTCATTCTTCAATTGTCCAATTTTGTTGAGCTTTGTTGTGGTCTTCTGCTGCTGTAGCCCATCTCCTTCAAGTTTTAAGTGTTGTGAATTCAGAGATGCTCTTCTGCATACCATAACAAGTGGTTATTTGAGTAACTGTTGCCTTTCTATCAGCTGGAACCAGTCTGGCCCTTCTTCTCTGACCTCTGGCATCAACAAGGCATTTGTGCCCACAGAACTGATATTTTCTCTTTTACGGACCATTTTCTGTGAGCCCTAGGGATGGTTGTGCATGAAAATCCCAGTAAATCAGCAGTTTCTAAAACTCTCAGACCAGCCACAACCATGGCACATTCAGAGTCGCTTAAATCACTTTTCTTCCCCATTCTGATGCTCGGTTTGAATTGCAGCAGATCGGCTTGATCATGTCTACATGTCTAAATGCACCAAGTGATTGGCTGATTGAAAAATTTGCATTAATGAGCAGTTGGACAGGTGTACCTAATAAAGTGGCCGGTAAGTGTATTTGTGATAGATATAAAAATGTGAGTAGTGTAGTTCTTCACTAGTGTGAGTTGTGACATACTATATAAAACTAATGTCACAATTGCCACCAGTTTCCTCTGTGGGACGGCACTTAAATGAACAAATCAATATATGAGAAACAGTAGACTTTATTCAGCAAAATTGAACATGCAGACTGATGTTTTATTTAAAATCTGTCTTCTTCTGTGTCCCTCTCAGATGTCAAACAGGACGGTGCGGATTGCTGGGACGCTGTCTGGTAACATTGTTTTGGCAGAGCGGCTGAACTACGAGGAGAGAACTCGATATCTAATTATAGTCCAGGCCAATGTAAGATTATTAACACATAAATATCCTTCACTGTCATTGGATGTTCTCTCAGTGTTCTTGTTCTCGTAATACGTTTAAGAGGACTGTTTCAGCTTAAGCTGTTTTGACAGGCTTTTGATTACCACAGATAGTCACTCTAAAATTGTTAACAATAATGCTCTTATGGAAAGGCTGTCTGGCCAAGGCATAAAGTTTAAACATTTTAAATCACAGAGTGTGTGGCTTTTAGTTTGATGTGCCCTTGCTTTTATTTATTTATTTATTTATTTATTTATTTATTTATTTATTTATTTATTTATATTTGTTTATTTATTATTATTCATTCATTTCTTTCTTTCTTAATGCATTTATTCCTTCATTTGTTTATTTTTATTTAGATATTATTTATTTATTTATTTGTTTGTTTGTTTGTTTGTTTATTTGTTTGTTCGTTCATTTTTTATCCCTTTATTCATTTTTGATTTTTATTTATTTAGTTATGTTCATCGTATTATTAATTCATTCCTTTTTATTTATTTGAATATTATTATTTGTCTATTTATTTATTCATCTATTTTTTACTCTATTTTATAATGATTTTGTCATTTTTTTTAGTTTTATTTAGATATTATATTATATTATATTATATTATATTATATTATATTATATTATATTATATTATATTATATTATATTATATTATATTATATTATATTATATTATATTATGTATTCATTTATTTAATTATTTATTATGATGATTTATTATTTTATTATTATGATTTATTTATTATTATGATTATTGTTATTAATATTATTTATTTATTTGTTCAATCATCCTTTTATTTATTTATTCATTTATTCTTTCTTTATTAATTTATTCATGCTTTTATTTATTTATTTATAAATTTATGTATTTTATTTATTTGTTTATTTATTTATTTATTTATTTGTGTATAGTAGTTTGCAAGTGTTTAAGAGCACTTGTGGCTTTAGTACAAGATTGCATTTGTAAGTCTACATATTAGCGTTATGGAGTGTATTAGATTTGTGTTTAGGGGTTGGAATTTGTGCTTGGCTGGTTTTTGCTTGAGAATTTATAGTGTGATTTTGAGTTTGAATTATGTGAGTGTGAGTTATGTTTTTTATGTTAGCATAGGTAAGTTTGAGTTGTCAGTTCAATGTTTGAGAGATTTTCAGTTTTAGTTTGATTGGATTTATGAGTTGAGTTTGCCTTGAAGTATAAATTGTGCTGCTTATTTATGTTGGTGAATTTATCGATGTGTTTGAATTTGCACTTGCTAGTTTTCATATGAGATTTTTTATTTATTTATTTATTTTTTGGGAAGGGGGGGGGGGGGGGGTTGTATCTGCCATAGAGAGTTGTTTTATATTTATGCAGATTGACTTTAGGAGTTTTCTTATTTGAGTTTGTGTGTTAAGTTCAAATTTACACTTGCAAATTTATTTATACAAATGTTTGAGTTTGCATTTAGGACTTTTTTGAATTTGCTTTTGAAATTTGAGGTTGAAGTTGCACGTAGATGATAAGGATTTTTAATTTTATTTTTGCGTTTTGAGAATTTGCAACTACACAAGTATCTTGATATTGTGCTTGCAAATATATGTAGAAGAGTTGTTTTAAGTTTGCTTTTACAAGAGTTTTTGAGCTTGCATTTTAGGCTTTTATTTTGCTTTTGTGATATTAAATGTAAGTTTTATATACTTGTGAGTTTAGAAAAATTATACTTGTCAGTTTACATTATTTTAATTTGATTTAAGTTTGCAAATCTAAGTTTATTTTACTTGATTTATTAGATTAAATGCCATACTTTTATTATACAAAATATATTTTAGTATTCAGAATGATTATACTTTTTATTATTCAAAATTATACTTGAGAAATTTGCATCTTTTAGTTTGTATCTGAGATTTTTTTATTTAAATTTGAAATTACAATTAAAATCTTAATTAAAAAAATTAAATAAATAAATCTTATGTTTTCAAAATTCAGCTTTCAAGCAATACCATTGTCCACTTATGTTGTATCATTATAAACATTTTTGTTTTTTAATCAAAATTACAGCCTTTTTATTTAGCAGCATTCCCCATGTGATGTACTTTGTGTTTTTCCCCCATAATATTTCCATAAAGTAAAGCCAACCCTAAAAATAGGCATTAAGTTGTGCTAGTAATGGAAAGGTTATAGGTTCAAGGAGTGAGCCGCGTTCACACTGAATAAATATGCCTGCTAAATAAGTACTTACTCTGTAACCTTTCCGGTAGATTAAAATAATATAACCTTGAAACTTTGGTCAAGCGCTGTTGAGCCTGTTCGGTTGCCAGTTTTGCACAATGCGCTCTTTAAAATTCCAGGCAGCTCCCCATATCTGTCACTGAATAACTGGCATCCTGATTCACTTCCAAATGCATCCCTCTACCTCACACGAGCTGCATACACAACTAGCCCAAAGCCGTCTGGAACAGCAGCCCGTTGAGGTGTCCAGACCCCAGAAGGCCCTGAGTGTGTTTTCATAGAGCCAAATGACTCAAATAAATGCCTTACATCATGGCGTCTACAGCTCTCCTTGAAGAAAATCAAATCATTTTAGGATGTTAAAAATTAGGGGATGGGGTTGTCACTGAGTTTGTTTCTCATTTTCTCTGAAATCTTGTTGGAGGATTAAATGCTCAACCCCAGAATCACATTAGATTTTATTATTTAAAAACTAACATTAAATGCAGACCATGATTATTGAAATTTAGTTAGAATCATTACGTGTAGTACATTATAATAGTAGAAGAGTGCAGATGCAAAAACTGCCTGAAATTTTTTTCCAAAATCTATTCATTTTGGCTTAGTCTCTATTTCATAGCCACAGTGGAATGAACCGCCAACTATTCCAGCATACGTTTTATGCAGCAGATGGCCATCCAGCTGCAACCTAGTACTGGGAAACAGCCATACATACTCATTCACACACACTGTAAGAAATATCTGTAATTTTACAAATTTTAAGCGTAAAATTAAAGAAATTTACTGTAAAATAACCGCGATTAAATTACAGAAATTTACCATAAAATATTGTACGTAAAGTTAAAGAAATTTCCTCAATTCAATTTCCTGTAAGTTTCTGTAATTTATCGTCTGTTGTTTCACAGTAAATTTCTGTATTTTAATGGCCATTATTTCACTTTTTTTTTTTTTTTTTAGCAATGGATTACATCACGGCCAATTTAGTTTATTCGATTCCCTTATAACGCATGTGTTTGGACTGTGGGGGAAACCGGAGCACCTGAAGGAAACCCACGCAAACACATGGAGAACATGCAAACTCTACACAGAAATGCCAACTGGTCCAGCCGGGACTCAAACCAATGACCTTCTTGCTGTGAAGCGACAGTGCTAACCACTGAGCCACCGTGCCACTTTCTTCCAAAATTCTTATTTTTTGTATGTGACTGTGTATATGACCATGAATTGTTTATTTATTTATTTATTTATTTTATTACCTTTAAAGGGAAATAACTGAACATAAACAGTGGAGGCTGAAATAAATGCTAATTTTGGGAGAACATTTAATAGAGCATTTAGAGGTTTTTTAGCATCAGAACTCATATTTTACATATGTGTTTAAGATTTTCTCTCTTAATTAGTTTTAAAAAGTTCTGAAAATTTGTTGAAAGTTTATGTTCGTGCTTATGGATTTTTTGTTCGTTTTATTAGGTTTTATTTAAATTTTTTTGTGTGTGCGCAAAATATGTTCTAAATGCTCTAAATGTTTTATACGCTACTCTCTTTTCCTTTCAGAACTATTTTTTACAGTACACTAAAAAAATGGTTTATTGCAAATTGTTGCAAACAAGAATAGACAAATTCAGTTGAGCATTGCTACATTTACATTTGTTAAATTCAGCTTGTATAAAATGTTTGCAACCACTTACCTTAAAAATTTTATATTTTTTTTCAATGTAGGTACAGAAAAAACAATGACACTCAAGATCTTATAGACAAAAATTGTAACTACAATATTAAGACCCAGTACCAATTGCACCAAAAATAAAAAATACAACAAAATAAAACAAAAAAAATTTAAAATAAATAAACTTATTATTATTATTATTATTGTTATTATTATTATTATTATTATTATTATTATTATAATTGTATTTAGCATTAGTAATTAAAGAAAAGAAATTATTAGCATTAAAGAAAACAAGCTGGCAAATGTGTTCATGTAATTGAATGTGTATTGACACACCTATTTTGGTGCTGTTTTTGGTTACTTCACTATGTAAACACAGCTTTTCTCTACAAATACATGTCATCGGGTGGTTCCCAGCCTACCTTAAGTGTTTCAAGCCTTACCACAACACTCTTCAGTTGGTGGTTCACAGCTAAGCCATTGCCCATCTGCTCATGGCTTCCGGCTTTTCTCCTCTCTCTTACTCTACAACGTATTTTATTTTATTTTGACTTATTTTATTTTGTTTTTTAATATGACATGATATGATATGATAACTTTTCTATTTTTTCTCATCCACTGTTTTTATTGTTACCATATCCCTCTATGTGTTCTATCTTCTATCCGAAGGTTGTATCTAAAGGTTTGTATCTATATTAAAATGTCAACTTTTGTTTCTTTATTGTCCAGGACCGGGCTCCATATCCAGGAACGCGGCGCACAGCTACCACTACTCTGACTTTGGATGTTTTGGATGGAGATGACCTGGGCCCCATGTTCCTACCGTGTGTGCTGGTCAACAACACGCAGGACTGTAACCCCGTCACGTACCGAGTGGCTATTCCTGAGCTCACAGACCCAGTAAGAAAACACAGACACAACGACAAAGGTCCTGAAACTCTTTAGTTAAATGCATAGTTACACTACGTAACGTTATGATAAAGTGCAACCATTCAATGCCATCAAACTTCATCCATTAATATATTTAGAAAAACTGAAAAAAGCCATGTCAGGGTGTGTAGAAACTTTTTCCAGACCACTGACAGTAAAGCCTTTTTACTTGCTTTATTCATGTAGTCAAGTTTTGATCACATTGAGGCATTCGACATTTGCATATCAAAGATAAAGTTGGATTCTAGGGTTTATGATGGATTTACTTGCACTTTATTCTAATATATATATATATATATATATATATATATATATATATATATATATATATATATATATATGAATATGTCAGTGTGTGGCATGGCTTGGTAAAAATAAAGCTGGGAAAATGTCTTAACTTGACTGAAACACTTCACCTGTGACCCACCTAAGGCTGGAAAAAGCACAGTCTGAAAAAAACTTGAGAGCTTGAGATCAGGGGATGTGCGTGAGACTGTGAACTATCAAGAAAGAAAGAAACTATGCACTGTATGCGCATTAATAATTCAGATTCACACAGCAAGCCTATGGACCATTCACTGACAGGCTGATGTATACTACTATTCAAAAAGTTGGAGATCTGTAGGATTTTCCTTTTGGATGTTTTTAAGAGAACTCTCTTATGCTCACTGTGGTTGCGTGTTTCATGATTGAAGAAATGGTAAAAAAAAAAAAACTGCAATTTTGTGAAACATTAAGGGAGTTGTTGAATTATTCATAGTTTTTGTTAATATATAATTTGCTGAAAACTGTATATTTTTAATAGACTACAGGAATAAGAGATTTGCTTATTTACCCAGGTGTGTATACAGTGTGTGTGCATGTGTGTGTGTCTGTGTGTGTGTGTTTTATTTTATTTTTATGTATGTTGCATTAATAAATAGTATTATAAATGTCTTTTCTATCATTGTTATTGAGTCTTTATAGTCTAAAAAGTGGAATGTCCTGGCTGTTCCAATTGGCGTTTCTGTGTAGAGTTGCATGTACTCCCCATGTTGGCATGGGTTTCCTCCTGATACTCCGGTTTCCTCCACAGTCCGAAGACATGTGCTATAGGTAAATTGAATAAGCTAAATTGGCTGTAGTGTGTAAGTGTGTGGGGGGGGGGGGGGGTGTGAATGAGTGTATATAGTAGATGTTTCCCAGTACTGGGTAGAAGCTGGAAGGGCATCAGCTGTGTAAAACCTATGCCAGAATAGTTGTTGGTTCATTGCGCTGTGGCAACCCTTGATGGATAGGGGATTAAGCCAAAGAAAAATAAATGAATGAATGGATTTTTGGGGGGCTGAAACTGATACCCAGTGCTTAATTTGTGAATTGAGAGGTCCCGGAACAGATCGGGGTAAATGATCTGGCATGTTATCAGAGGATGTAGAGGTGTCACGCACGAAAAGAAAGTAAAATTGCAGCAGACAGGGGCAGGGCCGGAGTGGGACTCCTTTTCAGCCCTGGAGTTTCAAGCATTAGACAGGCCAACCTTCGTTCACGACTGACTATATTAAAATAAGGTCATTTCCAAACAACGGCAGTAGCTGGGAGTTTTTTTTTTTTCTCCATTATATAAGTTTTACTGAAAACAAATTTGTTTAATAAATTTAGAGCAGTCAACATATAGCACTGAGGTGCTTACAGCAACATAAGTTCCATTCCTGGCTCAAGGTCCTTTGCTCATCCTTCCCTTCTCTTTGCTCACCACAATGTTCTATCTATTAAATATTTAAAACACTGAAAAAATTATGCGTATTTCTAAAGGTGCTGTTGACTTGAAATTTTTACCAGATGTTGATAACCAAAGAAGTCTAAGTAGATTTTAAATGAAGTTATGTGTAATAAAATGAAATGACGCAGTAAAAAGGTATTGAACAAATGAAAGAAGGAAGGTGTAGAAAGGCAGTGAAAGCCCAGACAGCAGCTGAAATCTCTCAGTAGTTCTTCAGCAACCCTCTGTCCTTCATCAGTGTAAATGAATATTAGCTGCTTCAGTCCAACATCTGCATTGGCAGGATGATGAAGATGTAGTGGACATTTCAGCATACAATGATCCAAAACATAGGCAAGGAAGCTCTCAGATGCTTTTAGAGAAATAAAATGTAATTGTTGAATGGTCCAGCCTATCACCTGACTTGAATAGACGAGACCCACAGAACCATCAAGATTTTTACACTGTTGAAGTTTGAAAAGACTCATACCTGACAGTCGTCTTTAAGCTGCCTTATATATCATTGTATGTATATGTATATATGTATGTATGTGTGTGTGTGTGTATATATATATATATATATATATATATATATATATATAGTGGTGCATCCCTAGGACACTTTGACCCCTTCACTGGACATTGTTTAGATCTTATACTGTGCAGCTTATAGCATCTGTGTCATTGTGTTGTTGTCAACCCTTAAATGTCACTCCTTTCATATTCTCCACCACATACGTTGCTCTTCTGACCCGTGCCTGGCTAAAGATGAGACTCATACAGCAGGGACAGGAAAGGTGAGAAAAGTTGGATTTAGAAGAGAAAAAGAAGCGGATGATGAAAGTTTGCTGGAACAGATTGAATGAGATCAGGGACATGGAGTAGAGACAAAACAGCATAAAAGCTCAAGGTTCATCACCCATCAAAGCCAAGACCTGATGATGGACAGACCTCTGAGGAGAGAGAAATCAAGAGTGTCCGGCATACACAGTTGAAGTCAAAATTGAAGTTTAAAATGATTTCCTGAGCCTTGTTTGATGGAGAACTGTTTTTTGTTTTTGGTTTTTTAATGGAAGGGCATTTACTGTGTAAAACATATGCTGGAAAAGGGGGTGGTTCATTACGCTGTGGCGACCTCTGAAATAGAGACTAAGCCCAAGTAAAATTCGTGAGTTTGCGTATGGTTTATTAGGATAGGAGTTAGGTTAGGCCAGAGTTTGATTTATTTTGGTGTAATTGTTTAAGACAAGGCGATGCAGTGGTGCAGAAGGTAGTGCTGTCGCCTCACAGCAAGAAGGTTGTTGGATCGCTGGTTCGAACCTCAGCTCAGTTGCCGTTTCTATGTGGAGTTTGCATGTTCTCCCTGCATTCGCGTGGGTTTCCTCCGGGTGCTCCGGTTTCCCCCACAGTCCAAAGACATGCGGTACAGGTGAATTGGGTAGGCTAAATTGTCCACAGTGTATGTGTGTGTGTGTGTTGATGTTTCCCAGAGATGGGTTGCGGCTGGAAGGGCATTTGCTGCGTAAAAACGTGCTGGATAAGTTGGCGGTTCATTCCGCTGTGGCGACCCCGGATTGGTAAAGGGACTAAGCTGACAAGAAAATGAATGAATGAATGATTGTTTAAGACAAATGAACGACAATATTAAAGAGAATCTGTTTTTGCTGGTTTGAGCTGCAAACTAGATTTGTTAGCAATATTGTCTGAATTAACGGAATTGTGAATGCTTGAATCCTTTTTTTTTTAAAAAAAAAAGGTAAAGGGTTTCTTTTAGGGGGTTAATAATTTTCACCCTGAATTTTTTTTTTTAATTAAAAACAGCTTTTATTCCAGTCAAACTAAAATAATTAAGACTTTTCCCAGAAGAAGAAAAACATATAACAGGAAATGCTGTGAAAATCTCCTTGGTCTGTTAAACAGCACTTGGGAAAATATTTGAAAAAGAATCGGAAATCGAATAATTTAGACGTCAACTGTATGGCTGATCTTTGCTTGTGTGGTAATTTATGCAAAAAATGTTTCCCAGTGCAGACGCTGTGCTCCCAAATGGCTTGCAGGTTCTGCACGGAATAAATGTGCTGCACATTTGCTTCATTTCAAGCCTTTTGACTTTCTCTTTTTGCACTCTTCAAGCTGCAGTTCTGCATTTTTACAGAGGCAGTGTCTCTTTGTCTTGTACTGCCATTTTCTGATAATCTCTCAAATTTACTAGGATTAGAGTGGGAGGGAAGACATTTCAGAAGTGATGTTTAGATTAGATGCAGTTGTTGGGGTATTACTGTACATCCTCCATTCATTCTGTTGATGTACTGCTACTCTCATGTCCAATGCATCTGCTTCTCTGCACTCCATTTGTAAGTGTGTGTAAAAACAGATGGACACTAGAAAGGTTCATCATTGTCTAGTGTCTGCACTTTCTGTCTCTTTCTCAGTGTAATGAATGATAAAATGTGTTTGTACTGATTTAAAATCAATATTTTTCATTTCTGTCTGAACGCTTGTTAATTGATCCGGTTGTTCATTCATTATTTATTTATTTATTCATTTATTTATTTTCGTTTTTCCTTTTGTTTTTCATTCTTTATTTTTATTTACTGTTGTTCATTCTTTTTCTGTCTTCAGTTTTTCTTTTTTTGATTATTTTTTATTCTTTCATTCTTTATTTTGAGCTTGTTTATTTTTATTTCATTCATTCGTTCTTGTTTGTTGGTTTTTTATTTTCTTCTTTATGTTTTTTACATTACAATTAATAGATATGCATTAATTCTTTCTTGGGCGATGCAGTGGCGCAGTAGGTAGTGCTGTCGCCCCACAACAAGAAGGTTTCTGGTTCGAGCCTGGGCTAGGTCAGTTGGCATTTCTGTGTGGAGTTTGCATGTTCTCCCTGCGTTCGCGTGGGTTTTCCTCCAGGTGCTCCAGTTTCCCCCACAGTCCAAAAACATGTGGTACAGGTGAATTGGGTAGGCTAAATTGTCTGTAGTGTATGAGTGCATGGATGTTTCCCAGAGATGGGTTGCAGCTTTCACTTTTTCTATGTCTGTTTTTCATTTATTTGTTTATTTTATTTTATTTTTATTTTTCATTATTTCATTCTTTATTCTTTCGTTTTTCTGTTTTTTATTTATTGATTTTGTTTGTTTTTTGTTGTTTGTTTGTTTGTTTATTTGTTTATTTCCAGTTTTTACATTCTTTTTCTATTTTCTTAGTTTTTCTTTCTTTTTTCTCTATTTTTTATTATTTTAATTTCTGATTCATTTTCTTTTATTTGTTTGTTTGTTTCCTGTTTGTCATTTTTTCCCTTTATTTGTTATTTATTTTTTTCATTATTTCATTTTTTATTCTTTCTTTCATTTTTATTTTTTGCTTTTTGTTTTACTTTCTTTTTTCTTTTTTGTTTCTAGTTTTTATTTATTTATTTGTTTGTTTGTTCATTTATTTTCAGCTTTCACTTTTTTTTCTTTCTTTCTTTCTTTCTTTCTTTCTTTCTTTCTTTCTTTCTTTCTTTCTTTCTTTCTTTCTTTCTTTCTTAATTTATTTATTTATTTATATTCCCTGTTATTCTTTTTTTAACTTTCCCCCCTTATTTTTATTTCTTTTTTTCATTCTTTCATTCTTTCTTTCTAACTTTTACATTTCTCTTTCTTTTTGTTTTTCTTTCTCTTACACTCCTCTTAAAAATAAGCTCATGTAATAACTACTGTTATCTGGCATGAAATGGTGTGTAATAATGTGATGCAGTGATGGTACTTAACAATCGAAAGTTGAAATATCCTTACGTTTTTAATTCAAAGATGTCATCCAGTTATTATTTAATTAAAAAAACGTCAAATTCATATGCTATATTCGCGAACATCCCCTTTACATGCTTCATAATGTGTTTCAGAGGCTATTTTTAACCCAACATTGGCCAGTATGAAGTGTGTAGTGCACAGAATGGAGTAAGCATAATTCCAGTGTTCCATTCCCAACATAGTTTCCCTCTCATTTCTTTGGCAGGAGTAGCGGTAATTAATGAGGTCACATATTTCACAATTAGAGCTGGGATATGGTTGGAGAGTCTTTTTTCCTGTCTCCAGGCTCAGATTAATCGGCCTAATGTCTGCTGGAGGGGGGATTATGGGTAGTTTTAAATGTCTCAGGTGGGCAAGAATTCTGATTTAGCGCGCTCACATACTTAACACCGAGCGGTTGTATTTACACTGCCATTTTAATGAAGCAGCCATCCCAAAGGAGAGGCCTCTTATTATCGTATCTGTTGGAGACTGTGTTTGTCTGCATGAAATGTACACTCATCTGTAGTGTGCACATTAATACAGTCAAGTGTCCCAAGAGTCGCGTTTAGCCCAGGGGAAAACGTACACTTCTGCTGTGGATGCTCTCTTTGAAAACTCGAGCCTTAATGGAGATCTCTGAATGTATTATTTATGCAGCAGCTTTGTTTCAAATGTTTCCAACATTTGTTCTTTTGGGGAGAGACTTTAAGTAGACCACTGCTGACATGCATAGCAAGCATGTGCTCTTAAATATAGAGCTTTTTTATTGGCATCTATTATTCCATGGAAACTTTTAATATCCATGGAAACTTTTTATTGAACATAAGTTTTTTTTTTTTTTTTAAGTGTCAAAAAGGATAATTATTCATTTATTCATTTTCTTTTCAGCTTAGTCCATTTAATAATCAGGGGTCACCACGGCGGAATGAACCTTCAACTTATCCAGTTTATGTTTTATGCCTCATTCAGACTAACTGCGACTTTGTAGCCGCCTGTTGCTCTGTGTGGTGACCTGCTGCAAATGCATATACAGGTATAAACAGCACAAATACAACTGGCCTCTGAGCGAGCTGAGAGAGGATCATGTGAGCTCTACTGGTGCTTCTATTGGCTGTTGCTCAAGAAAGTTGCTCTTCATTTGCTTTGACCTGAAGGATTCTCTACTTTGTATAGTTGCTCAACATGCCCACCTGGTCGCCCAAGGTCGCTGTCACTCGCGTAGATAAAGGTTGCCGGAAGTTGCCCGCTTTCTGTTGAAATGAGTGGTCATGTCGCTTATAGCGCATGTCTTTGGACCCAGAGGAAACCCACGCCAGCAAGGGGAGAACTTGCAAACTCCACACAGAAATGCCAACTGACCCAGCCGAGGCTCGAACCAGCGAACTTCTTGCTGTGATGCAACAGCACTATCCACTCTGCCACCGCGCTGCCCTATTGATAATTATTATTTTTTTATAATAGTTATTTTATTATTATTATTATTATTATTATAAGTAGTAGTAGTAGTATTAGTAGTATTTATTTATTGTATTTATTTTTATTTTTTCATAGTTCTTCTGTTCTCAAAATAGTTATTCTGTGGAAAAAACTTTGAAATGAAAGTTTTTTAAACCTGTTGAACCTAGTCATAAGGAAGCATTTATGATACCATGTTTATAGTATTTGTACCATTCATTTATTAATATTAAGTCATACAGCATTTATTTTTTGGTTAATGTTAGTTTTAAAATGAAAGCTATACATTAATAATACATGAATTAAATATTGACTTGCATATCAAGTACAGACATACAGGTAGTGCTTTCTTTTATTTATTAAAATTAGAGTTAAACAGTCTTGAATCTTGGATGTTAACTGCAATAATTAAAAAGAAAATAAAAACAACAATTAAAATGAATGAAATGTATTTACTTTCATATACTTACTTACTTCCAGGGCCATTCATATCAAAGTTGATTTTTAGCCGCACAAAATTGGTGTTTCGTTTTTATGAGGTGAGTTGTTAGCCCAACGCTCAACCCCCAACCTGGAGGACCAAGACATATAGTACATACATACACTACGGACAATTTAGCTTACCCAATTCACCTACAGCACATATTGTTGGACTGTGTGGGAAACCAGAGCACCTGGAGAAAACCCACCCCAACGTGCAAACTTCACACAGAAATGCCAACAGAAATGCCACCTCCTTGCTGATATATATATATATATATATATATATATATATACTTTTTTTTCTTTTATTTTCTTCTTTCTTTTATCACCTCGGCACCATCATGGTGAAACATCCTTTTGATGCATATATTTTTAATGTGCAGTGGTATACCAGTTTTCAACACAAGTTCATTTATTTCTATTTGTTCACATGCGACTAACAATAAGAAAATATGTTTTGTTTTTAATTAATGTTAATTTCAAAATAAAAATAAAAACATATGTTGGACTTATCATTTTATAATATGGTAAATTTAATTTGATTTAATCTTAACATTTCATTCTGCTGTGGTAACCCTCATACATCAGGGACTAAGCTGAAGAAATGTGAGTAAAAACAGATCTTTTAAAAAGGACTAAATGGATCTATGCCTCTTATGGCAGTTGAAGTGAAACTTCCCAATACCTAAACCCTACTAATACTACTAAAATAATTCTGCAAAATTGTTGCAAACAATTTATATGGGTTAATTTTAAACAAATTAAATGTAGTAATTTTCAATTTATTTATTTATTTATTTATTTATTTATTTATTTATATATATATATATATATATATATATATATTTTTTTTTTTTTTTTGATTAAATTCAGCCCAAATACATTGTTTACAACCACTTAACTTCAGGAATAATTTTTGAAAATGTATTTTTTCAGTGTATTAACTACAAATAAACAGCCAATTACTGGTTTACTGAGGTAAAATGCTTTTTTCTTGTGGGGTTATAACTTAAATTGTACATTAAAATAAAGTGTGACTGAACATTTTAATCTTTTAGTCAACTTCATTGTTTGATCATCTATACCTGTTTTTCCATATTTATAGAACAAGCTGAACCCTCTGAATGTGACGCCTCCCATCCGAGCCATAGACCAGGACAGAAACATTCAGCCGCCCTCAGATAGACCTGGAATCTTGTACTTCATACTGGTTGGTGGGTATTTAAATGAGGATTCAATTAAAGGGATAGTTCACCCAAAAAAGAAATTTACTCACTCTCAAGTGGTTACAAGTGGCTTTTTTTTTCTGTTGATCACAAAAGAAGATATGTTGAAGAAAGCTGAAAACCAGAAACTGACTTCAATAGTAGGAAAAACAAATACTATGGAAGTCAATGATAACAGGTTTTCAGCTTTCTTCAAAATTACTTCTTTTGTGTTCAACAGAAGAAAAAACAGGGTTGGAAACAAGTAAAGGGTGAGTAAATGATGACATAATTTTTAGTTTTAAGTGAGCCATCCCTTTAAATATCTCTTTCAACAAACAAACAACACGTTTGGAACGAACAAATGAATGAAAGAATTAGTGACACATTTGACACATGTGAAACTCAACTGAACAACACATTTGGAACAAACAAATAACACATTTGACTCATTTGAAACGAGCAAACAAATTACACGTTGGAGCAAACGAATGAATGACACCCTTGACACATTTGGAACTCGAATGAACAACACATTTAGAACAAACAAACAAATGACACATTTGACATTTGAAACGAACAAACAACACATTTCAAACATTTAGAAAGAACAAATGACACATTTGACACATTAGAAACAAACAAATAACACAGCTGACACATTTGGAAGGTTCAAATAAACAACACATTTGGAATGAACAAATGAACAACACATTTGGAACGAAGGAACAAATAACACATTTGACGAACGAACAAACAAACAACGCATTTGGAAGGTACAGCTGACTAATTTGCCACATTTGGAAGGAAGGAAGTAGGGAACGAACAACACAATTTGGAATGAACAAACGAATAACATATTTGACACATTTGGAATTAACGAACGACACATTTGGAATGAATGAACATACAAACAACATATTTGTAACGAACAAACAAATGACACATTTGGAACAAACAAACAAATTACACGTTGGAATAAAAGAATGAATGACACATTTGACACATTTGGAACGAACTAACAACATATTTGACACATTTGGAAGTAACAAACAACACATTTGACACATTTGGAACAAACAAACAACATGTTTGGAATGAACAAACAAATGAAACATTTGGAACAAACTAACGAACAACACATTTGGAACGAACAAAGACACATTTAAAACAAAGGAACAAATCACATATTTGACACATTTGAAAAAACAAACAACACATTTGAAACATTTGGAAGGTACAAATCGACTAATTTATTACATTTGGAAGGAAGGAAGGAAGGAAGGAAGGAAGAGTGAACGTACAACACATTTGGAATGAACAAACAAACGACACATTTGATACATTTGGAATGAACAAACAATGAGATAGTTGACGCATTTGACGCATTTGGAACAAAAGGACGAACAAACGAATGAAACAGTCGACACATCAAATGAATGACACATTTTAAAAACTGACAAACACATTACACATTTGACATTTGGAATGAACAAATGACATACTTGACACATTTGGAATAAACGAACAACATATTTGACATATTTGGAACAAATGAATGAACAAACAAATTAACGAACGACACATTTGACACTTTCGCATGTTTAAGAGACCATATTAAAATTCTCAGGATTTTTTTCTCATTTTTATAGTTTTAGAGTTTTATAGTTTGGGTAAACTATTTTTATTCTGCACTTTTGCTTTATTCTGTTTTATTCTGTGATTTTCCTTCAAATGTAAAATAAAACGATCAATTTTGTCAAAATTGTCAATTGCCTACATAATAGTAATTCTCCAAACTACAATCATTTTCTTAAACTTTGAAATATAGAAGACATATTATCAGACATATTATCAAATAAAACAAAGATTATAATTTTACTCAGATCTATACCTATTACATCCTGTGAATATTCTTTATTTCCCCATTTCTGTATGTAGCAGTTCTTTGAATATGTTTAACAGCTTTAAAAGGCATTTTTTGCTGTATATTTTAAAGTCAAGTCAAACTAAGTCATATTTATTTATATAGCACTTTATGCAATGCAGATTATTTTCAAAGCAGCTTTACAGGGGAAAAAATGCAGCTGCCAGCATCAATTAGGTGGCAAATGAGGAAGTGAACATGGCAGGAGCATCAGGCCAACTGGGGTGACAATAACTCAAAGTTTGGTGCCAGTTTGCCAGTGTCACAGAAGCATAGCCTTTGACCTATTTTGGTATCATGCCATCAAATCTGACAATGAGTGAAGCTGTTTGAGATGTGAGAAGCCTTTTTAAGAACTTTATGCCAACACAGTGTGCTGCACAACATGGTGTGATTAGATTTTTTACTGAAGCTTGAACAAACAGTTTAGGATGAACTTAAAACATTTCTAATAATTGTAAAAAATTAAGCTGAGTACTTTCTTTGGATTTCGCCTGTCGCGGTTTTTAGGACTTAACTACACTGTATTGCATTGGAATTGCTTTTATAAATTACAATTAACACAATTTGCCTTTATTGATATTTTAAATAGATTTTTGTATCATTGGTTTAGTTTCTTGAAAAATAAAAGAGGAACATTTTATTGCAATAAGCAATGTAACTGAATAGTATAATCAAATATAATACTGGATACTGGATATAAATGTCACTGTATAAATCAAATAAAGGTTAAACATTAGTAAAGTTTGCTAGTGTGGAAGGAATTAAAACAACATTCTGAAGCTGCAGCACGCATCAGAAACACGGCACATGTAGTAATCCATCTGTCAAAATGAATTGAATTTGACAGATTACAATATGTATGAGCACCTATCAGCACTTTTTCTGTTAATTTGAATATAAAATCTGAAACCAAGTTAATTCCGCAATAAAGCAGATCTACAGAAAACAATAGTGTCATCGTTCAGATTAAATTAGTTCACTCGCTAGAGCACCTTTAGAGGTCAGAGGAGTGAGGTTTACCTGCACAGCACTCACTAGCTGGCCTCTGCTATGAGGCAACAGTGCTAATCACTGAGCCACTGTGGTTATTTGTCAGTGGTCTTTTTAAAAATTTTTATTAATCTTTAAACTTTGCAACATGACTTCAAATAGCATGGTGTATGTAATATATGAGCAATATCACATGAGTAACAGTGTGATTTGGCTGTATATCTGCACTGGTGGGAGGCGTGCGTTGACACAAGGCCGCAGGCCGAGTGTCTTAGTGCCCCCACCAGTGCCGATATACAGCCATACCGCACTCCTACGAGTGTGATATTGCGTTTATACAACAGTTTGACAGCATAATTGTGTATAAAAAACAAAATCAAACAAGGACAGTCTTAAAAACCCTTTTGTATGAGGAACTACTTTCTTCCGCGTTGGACTCAAATCATACGCTGACAGTTCAACAGCTGAGCAAGCATCTTTTAAACTTTAGATCTTTAGTGTCTGCTTTTTGCTGGCTGTATGTGGGCGGAATAATACACAAAGGGTAAAGGGGCTCTACATTTGCTTATATTACTTAAACATATCACGGCTATCAGCCAATCAGATTTGAGAACCAGACAGAACTGTTGTATAAAATGTTAGAAAGTCTAGTATATAATAAAGTGAATGGCACGGTGGCTCAGTGGCTAGCACTGTCGCTTCACAGCAAGAAGGTCGCTGGTTCTAGTCCTAGCTGGCCTAGTTGGCATTTCTGTGTGGAGTTTGCATGTTCTCCCTGTGTTTGTGTTGGTTTTCTCCAGATGCTCAGGTTTCCTCCACAGTCTAAACACATGCGCTGTAAGCGACTTGAATAACCTAACTTGGCCATAGTGTATGAGTGCGAGAGTGTATGGGTGTTTCCCAGTAATGGGTTGCTGCTGGAAGGGCATCCGCTGCATAAAACATATGCAGGAATAGTTGGCGATTCATTCCACTGTGGTGACCCCTGATTAGTAAAGGGACTAAGCCGAAGGAAGATGAATAAATGAATGAATGAATGAATATAGTAAGGTATAGTGCACATTGTGTATAATAAGGAATAACAGCGCAATTTTGGTCTCTCTCTGTGTCTTTAATGTGTTTTAGGCACACCTTCTACGTACCCAGAGTTCTTCACTCTGAACAGGAGCACGGCTGAGCTGCGGCTGCTGAAGTCTGTGGACAGAGAGCTTTACCAGCGCTTCTCTCTCGTCATTAAGGTCATTATATCATCATCATCACGCTATCTACTGTATGGCTGTGAAGATGAGTGATACTCATGCTCACCGTTATTTGAGCGTCTGTAAGAGTCTCATCATTTTTAAAATGCAGTCAGCTGATGTTTTACAGCCGGAATAACATCTAGTTTTTCTGGAAATGGTCTCTTTATATTGCATCAGTAGTAAAAGCAATTGCGCACTCTATTTATATGGAAACACTATCGGTATAGTTCTGGTAACCTATGGTAGGCGGGCAGCGTTTCAAAACATCATTTATGGCTGTCCTGACACAAAGGCTGTTATGAAAGGTATGCTGTATGATTCTTGTAAGCTTATTGCAGCATCGCATATATACTTTAGTGAGGAATGCAGTTCCACTGTGCGCTGCGACAAGCTCACAAAGAAAATAAAATGTTTGATCTTCATACTTTAGACTTCGCTCATAAGCCAAATATTAGATGAAGATGTTTATAAGGTACACTGATGTTTAAAGGTTTGGGGGCTAGGAGGAAGATGATGGCTATCATTATTATGATTATTATGATTATTATGATTATTATTATGATTATCATTGATAATAATGAAACAATTACTTTTACTATTTTATTATTTAATAATAATAATAATAATGTTATATTATTATTATTTTTATTATTATTATTATTATTATTATTATTATTATTATTATTATTATTGTTGTTGTTGTTGTTGTTGTTTATTGTTTTTTATTATTTTTACAAATGTTATTATTATTGTTATTATTATTATTATTATTATTATTATTATTATTATTATTATTATTATTAGGGAAGGATGCATTAAATGGATTCAGATTGTTAAGTAGTTTATAAATTTATGAGGATTTCTAGCTGTAATTGATTTCTGAAGGTTCATGTGAGAAAAGGAGTAATACATTCTGCTTTGCCAACATTTTATATAATAAAAAAGAAACCAGGTATTTAAATTGTACTATTTCATAGTAACACTTTTTTTTCTGAAATTCCATTAAACTCTGTTTACTACATTAAGTTAATGTGAAAATATGAATAGAATAGAATAGAATAGAATAGAATACAATACAATACAATACAATACAATAACAACACTAACATAAAATTGGTTAAGGCTGTGTATGGTTATTCATTCATTCATTCATTTTTTTTTTGTCTCAGTCTCTTTATTAATCTGGGGTCGCCACAGCAGAATGAACCGCCAACTTATCCAGAATATGTTTTATGCAGCAGATGCCCTTCCAGCTGCAACCCATCTCTGGGAAAAATCCATACACACTCATTCACACTCATACACTACGAACAGTTTTAGTCTACCCAATTCACATGTATCGCATGTCTTTGGACTTGTGGGGGAAACCGGAGCACCCAGAGGAAACCCACGCGAACGCAGGGAGAACATACAAACTCCACACAGAATCGCCAACTGACCCAGCCGAGGCTCGAACCAGCGACCTTCTTGCTGTGAAGCGACAGCACTACCTACGGTGCCACCGTGTCACCCTGTATGGTTATTACAAATAGCAAATGAATGTCTAAATGAATGTACGAAGGAACAAACAAATAAATGAATTAATGAATGAACAGACACAACAAAGAATAATAAATAAATATAAATACATAAATATATCAATATATCAATGATTATAAAATAATTAGTTTGCTGCATCTTCATTCAAATAAATTCAGCCCTAATGAGCATAAGTGAATTATTCAAAATAAATAATAAACAAAAAAACACAATCGCCTCACAGCAAGAAGGTCGCTGGTTGGAGTCTAGACTGGGTCAATTGGCATTTCTGTGTGGAGTTTGCATGTTCTACCTGTGTTCGTGTGGGTTTCCTCCGGGTGCTTTGGTTTCCCCTACAGTCCAAAGACCATAGTCCATTATCCATAGTGTATGTGTGTGAAGGTAGGAGTGTATGGGTTGCAGCTGGAAGGGCATCCGCTGCGTAAAACATATGTTGGGTAAGTTGTCCGTTCATTCCGCTGTGGGGACCCCTGACTAATAAAGGGACTTAGCCGAAAAGAAAATGAATAAATAAATGGATATATATATATATATATATATATATATATATATATATATATATATTTTTTTTTTTTTTTTTTTTTTTTTTTTACTTTTTGCACTTGTCATTAATCATGTCATTATTTCAGCACTAATTAAAATGATCAATCAGTCAAATATCCAATATGAGCTACATGTGAAAAACACTGACTCTAATCCACCCAGTCTCTGTCTATACAGAGCATTCCAAATTGCTTTAGATTGCATTTTCATCGGGATGCTGCCTTTGTAGGTGGCAGACAGCGAGGCCACTCACCAGCATTTGAAACAGAGCTTTGTATATTTAATTACATGAAACATGCCGTGTCGTCTAATTGAACGGAGCTGGAATAGAGCGAGGAAAGGAGTTGCTGTGAAATTATACTGCTCTATCGTAGATTTGTGTGGAACAACAGTGTACCAGCGGGGGTAATTCAAATGTTTCCTCCGCGAAACCATGCATGACTGTGTTTGTTGTTATGATTTTGTCATTTCATAATAACAATGCTATTCTCGGTTTGCTTCAATTGTGATGAAATTGGGGACCAAATAACAGAGAGAACATTGCCGCTGTCAGACTGTCAGATGTGTGTGTTCCTGTTCCAGACATGTGCGAGTTGATGGGCTGCAATGGCTTCTTCATGAAAGTGATGATATGTCGAGCTTATAATGGGAATGAAACTATTGAGGGAGATTTTTCTGCTCACATCTCTTTAATAAACAAAGATCAGATTCGAGCCATTTTTGGTTCATGAATTTTGGGCGTTTTTTGAACGGTTGGACGTTAATTAGAAATCAGTGGAGATTAATTAAAATCCTTTTGATTTTGGACAGTTTTTGAATGGTTGCACTTTAATTTGAAGTCAGTAGAGATTAATTAATGTCCTTTGAGTGAGATTTATTTAAAACATATCCATCTTTTAAAAAATATGTTTTTTATTTATTTAATTTTACTTTGCAGACTGCACATTTGACTGGCTGAAACAGTCTAAAGTCGGGGTCTCAAACTCTTTTTTAACATTCAAACACAGGATAAAAGTGGAAACCTGTTGTAATTGATGCATCTTAGGACAACAGACATGATGTTTCTATTTTAAGCATTGCCTGTCACCAGTGCTAATGCAATCAGCACTTTTTTTGCACGCTGTAAAACCCAGAAAGTTATGGTAACTTAAACCATTCGAGGAAAACGATTGCAACAAACCATTTAAGTTCAAAAACTAATCCTAATGGGTACTGTCAACTTAATCCATTTGAGTAAATGAAGCCATTTGAGCACAGTAAAACGCAGTAAATGAAGAGAACTCAAACCATTTAAGGAAACCGATTACTACAAACCATTTGAGTTACAAAAACTAATTAATATAAGTACTGTGAACTTACTCCATTTAGGTTGAAGTAATGAGGTATTTAATTACCTCCAACAATGAGTTCAAAACTCTTTTCAAATGAATAGAATTAACTTTCAGTAATTTTTGAGTTCACTACACTCATTTCATTTGATAAAGCTGACTGTTTGGTTTTACAGTGCATCACACAGCTGCTGAAATACATCTGTGGATGTTGTTTTTTCATAGCCATTAGACACACACTCAGTGATTCTTCCACAGAGTATATGCAGTCAAAACTCTTGGTTTTTGTTTCTTGTTGTACATATTGAAGGGGTAGTTTAAACTGCTATGATAATAATACAAATAATAGACATAATAATAGTAATTATTGCTGTGAGGTGGGTTGTTTGGGGCATAAATAGCCTGCGGGTTGGCAGTTTGAGACCCCTGAGCTAAGCTGAAAAAGCACTCAGGATTGGAGGTAATTTAGAAATTAAGAAATAAATTAATGAATGAACAGACACAACAAAGAAAATAGGTTAAAAAACAAATAAATAAAAATAAATACATAAATATATCAATGATTATATATATATATATATATATATATATATATATATATATATATTTCTCAACTTTTATTTACATCTGAACAAAAGATGGCATGTTCAAAATTATTCATACTCTTCTCAATGATCAATAGAAAAGGCTTAATGGCTATTACAGCAACCAAACACTTCCTATAATTGCTGAATTTTATAATTAATTTCCACTTTTTTGGCCCATTTATCTTTCAAGAATTCACAGTTAACTGATGATTGATAATAAAGCTTCTTTGGCAGGCTCTCATGGCACAGAGCCATTCTTCAAGATGAAGTTAAAATGTATAGAAGCCTTTAATAATTTTTAGTGAGTTAATAATCATTTGATTGGTGAATCAATCGTGAACTGATGTGGGACCAGCTGTGAACAATCATAAGCATGTGATCCTCTTGAAATGAGTTTAAAAATAAACTTAACTTCGCTTATGAGCTCCAACTTTTTTATGTTTGTGGTTCTCCTTGTCATCATCCTGATCTTGAGCTCCCTTCACAGATTCTCAATTGGATTCAAGTCTGGACTCTGGCTGGGCCACTGCAAAACATCAATGTTTTTGTCTGCTAACCGTTGCTTCACCACTTTTGCTGTGTGTTTTGGGTCGTTGTCATGCTGAAATGTCCACTGGTTCCTAAGGCCATGATATTGTTGATCATTTTAATGTATAGCCTCTTTTTTGTGTATTTATTTATTTATTTATTTATTCATTTATTTATTCATGTATTTATTTAATTTTTTTTTACCACATCTTAACACATTTTTTACCATTTTTACCAATATCTTTTCTACGATTACCATGTTTTTCCCAACTAGATTATAAAGAAAGTAAGTTTTGTTTTGTATTTTGGGTTGAAATGTACCATAGTAATATTTGATTTATCATGGTGTATCTGTCTATATACTTCTATGATAATGACCTACATCATGCATGCATGTTTTCAATTTTTTTCCAGAATTATTTTCTGAAAATGAATCACGGTACCATAACTCCTAGAAATAATGCCTAAATAATATACAATGTGCTTCATTTTAGATCATTTCAGCATGACTGTGTGTTTGTTTGTGAACAGGCAGAGCAGGATAATGGTCATCCTCTTCCTGCGTACTCGAAGCTGGAGATCGAAATTCTGGACGAGAACAACCAGGCGCCGTATTTCCAGCAGTCTTCGTACCGGGGCTTCGTCAGTGAATCCTCTTCTGTCGGCACCACCATCTCAGCCAGCGCCAACCTCACGGCCCCGCTGGCCATCATAGCTCTGGACAACGACATTGAAGAGGTGAGATATTCAAATGTACAAAAATAAAAATCTTATTTCATAATTCATAATGTATGCAGCTGCGCTGCTGGAATGCAGACATGCATAAAGTCACAGATGGTTTCAGTCTCTCCATATGTTTTATATTGTAGCTGCTGCCAGGGGCCACACCAGTAGGTACCAGAGTGACGTGTGCCCTTTTGTCCTTTTTCTCTTTGTCATTTTTCTTCTCTTTTTTTTTTTACTATTTAAAAACATAAAAAATCTTGAGTTTGCAATTCTACTATTTTTCCTCTGCTTCTCCACTTGAGGATTTATGAAAGGCCATGAACAGATTTAAATATCTATTTGTTTTATAATCAATATTTTGGATGGTACATTTTTTTTTCTTTTCTTTGTTTTTATTTCACTGTTAAAATATTTTAAAAAGCTTTTTTTTTTTAAACTTTCTATCTTGAGTTTGCATATTTCAATTCATTTTTTTTTATCTGCTTCTCCGTTTAAAGATTTTAAGAAGTCTGTGAACAGATTTAAATATTTATTTGTTTTATAATTAATATCTTGGACCATTTTTTTTCTTCTTTTTTTGGTTGTATCATTTTTTTTAATTCTGCTTCTCCACTTGAACATTTAAGATTAAATTAATATTAGTCCATGCATTAACTAACAATTATGAATAAATTTTGTTACAGTATTTATTAATCTTCATTAAAATACGTTAAGGGTCTTTAAATGAAATAACATTAGTTCAAGTTAACTAGCTGTGCATTAACTACAGTAATGTTAACAAGCACAACTTTGGATTTTAATAATGCATCAATAGAGGTTGTAATATGATTAATAAACGCGTAAAACGATTAAACATACTTAGTTATTGATACACATTAAAGTGTTACCCTGCTTATTAATAGTCAGGTATTAGCAGAGATGTATAAAGTACTAGAGACCCAGACTTAAGTAAAAGTACAAGTGCTCTATCAAAAAAGGGACTTGAGAAGAAGTTGAAGTGCTCTTTAAGCACCATACTTAAGTGGAAGTACTAAAGTATTCAACATTTTTTGTACTTAAGTATAGCAAGTAGTTTATTTCAAAATTTACTACTTAAGTACTGAAAGGAAAAGTACAGGTATTGTGCAATGTAGTTATTAAAGAAAGCAGTCAAAAGACATCATATTGCTTTGTTTATTTCAAATATCTTTTTTAGGGGGTGATTAAGCAAAATGAAAACATGGCTTACGATACTGGTACGAACCACAGATCTGACCGATAATAACAGCTTTAACGCAAACATTTCAAAGTTGTGTGTCACAAAAACACTCCATAATCCACTCAAAACACTATTAAAACCCATTTTCGGATCACAAATTATCGGTTTTAAACGCTGTACACGGAAGTTCTAAACATTCTACCCGAAGACGCAGGTGATTATGGCCCCCTCCATGCTCCATGCAGTAGCCAAGAAAAAGGTCTATGATTATAATGAGTAGGGCTAAGAACCTACACTGGTCTCACAGTTTGGTTCGGTTACGATTATCACGATTCTAAAGGCTCATACACTTAGGGTGCCCCCAGAGACATTATCAAGGGCCCGTGCAACCTACTGTACATCAATACAGCCTTAGTACTTAAGTACAGTAGTGAAGTAGGTCTACTTCATTACTATACATCTCTGGGTTTTTGTTGGGTTTAGGTATTGGGTAGTATTAGGGATGTAGACTAAGATCATACTTTATAAGTGCTAATAAACAGCTAAAGTTCTAATAATAGGCAGGTAAAATCATAATAGTTACAGTAAAAGTGGGAATTGGTACTTAAGGTGTTACCCAAAAACACGTTTTCCTTCTTTTTCATGAGTGTTTGCAGTGTGTGCATGAATTTGTTTTGGACTGTGTGTCATGGTCTTTTTATTGAATAGTAATGCTCCATTTGACCTGCTATCTTTTTTTGTTATCTTTTTTGCTATATTTGTTTTGTGAAGACTAAAGACCCTCAGCTGAAGATCACTCTGAATGAATACACCTCCATCTTCACCATCACTACTAGCGGCATCACACGATTCCTGACCCTGCTGAAACCAGTGGACCGAGAGATACAGACCAACTACACATTAACGGTACCACACACACACACACACACACACACACACACACACACACACACACACACACACACACACACACACACACACACACACACACACACAGCTACATTTAGTCTATCTACACATATAGGTTCAATTTTGAATTATTTTATTCATGTGTTAAATGACAGTAATATACATATTTTTGTTAATAAGTAATAATATTATTTAGATATAATATGAGATTAGATTTGAACTAAATCAAAGAAAAATGTTGTGAAAATAAAATAAACATTTTTGTTAATTAATTTAATTTCAGACAATATCAGAAAGTGATAAAAACTGCTTAAAACAATGAAATTCATCATTCTTTTTTGTTTTAAACAACAATTGCATGCAATTTAAACATGTTTTAACAAGTTTAAACAAGTTTTAACAAGGAAAAAGCAAGCATATCTCATCACGAAGTGTTTTTACAATATAACCTGCACACCTAATGTTTACATTCGTAACATTTATATTATTTGCTAATTAATAACCTCATGTGGAACTCTAAATCTGAGAGATCCCCACTAAATCAATCGGTCCGAGATCACCCAAATGAGGTGGCCTTGGCTCGATTGAAATGAACTCTGGAGTGAATCGATTGTTGTGAGAAAGCAAAACGATCCGAGCCCGGCTATATCATATAATATGTGTATTATATCATATAATATATATGTGTATTATGGATATGTAATAGGCATATATGGCTATAAGAAGAGAGAATTATAAGTAGGGCGGGATGTCATTCCTACCGGTAAATGTGCGGTTCATGTTAAATACGAAAGCGAAAGCTTGCTGAAATATTACAGAGAGCTGTTTATCAGTTAGGAACATTAACCGAACTGCAGTGTAGCCAAGGGCTATGCATGAGAAAGTCTTACCTCTGATTTATATCTGATGAAGAGGTCTGTGGGTGTCACCATTCAAAATTAAAGCGTAGCTTTCCGCTTATAATGTCTTATTGCTCATCCCCATAATTAAAATAAGGTCGCATAACAGCTGAGCTGGACTGCAAAATAAACCATGAAACTACGACTAATGTAAGGAGAGTTTACTCACACATGACTTGTTTTAGCTCTTTTGGTCCGTTTAGAAACATTTCCTTGTGAGAGCGAACCGCACCAAGAACAAAGAGCAACATTGTAACAATTTTAATACCTGTTTCGGAACAACTGAATCGATTCACAGGTGTGAAAGCACCCTGAGTCTCATTTTGGAGTCTGCTGCTGTCCACTAGAGGTCACATTTCAGTCACGGACGCATACTTTCAGAGCTTTTCTGAATGAATGAATGAATTATGCGGTTTTCAACCCGGGCTCATTGTGGAAACGTAGCCCCGCAGACGTTTCTGCGGACCGCGATTTACGTCCCGGGAGGTACGTATTCGAGCAATTTTTGTTTGAGAGGCTGCTGTGCGCGCTTTTTCGTGTCTCGGGCGCCTCTCGGGAGCGCGTGCCGTTCGCGCCCGCGCCGTTCTCGTGCGATAAGCCGCCGGATCGGCCGACTCGGCCGCCACACCGCCCCGCAGCGTTCGCTCGAAAAAACTAAACGCGGCCTTGCGTACCTCCGGCCACGTAAATCGCGGTCTTCAGAAACGTCCGCGGGGCTACGTTTCCAGAATGAGCTTGGGTTGGCGGTTTTCCACCAAGGCAACCCAGGATCCTTAAATGTAATTGGCTACACTGGCAGTGGGCAGGTTAAAATGACCAAAACACAGCACGGTAAACTCATTTTCAAAGCAGAATATCTGACTTCGGCATTGTTTTTCAGATAAACAAGTATGTTCACTTAGCATGTGTCTTAAATATCTGCATACATATTATAGTTTTTTTTTTTTGCTTTAGAAAACTTACATACTGTACAGCACCTTTAATTATTATAAGACAATGAGTTTGCTCTAGTTTTTTAAGTAAAGTCAGCTAATTGTTTTTAACAGTGTATGATATGTAACATTCAGTTAATCGATCAATCTCATCGCACAATATCTGAAATGCTGTTTCAATCATTCTGAACTTTTTAAAAGTAAAGTAACTAATGGCTTTTTACAGCGTACACATTATTATTATGTTAGTGATGTTTAATATTTATAGTATTTTAGTTTTTAATTGCATAAAAACAATTCAATTAAAATGAATTTAAGTTAATTAATATGAGTCTATTACACATATTTGCCTTTACATGTTAAAGTGGTCCCTGTCTCTCAAGTCCTCACTCTCATTGAAAATGAATGGCCGGTCGCTTTAGTTCAGTCTTCTGTCCCCTTGAGATTATTTACTGCTCTTGTAAGACCCAGTGTGCGTCAGCATCTGCTCTGTTGGACTCCTCCAGCATGAGGAGCTTCTCATTTATTAACAACAGGGAATGTTCTTACTTGAAGATGAATATTTCTGTCTTGAACATCAAGTTCACAGCATGTTGAGAGTTCACTGTGATGAAGAAAACAAACGGACTGAAGCGATGCTGTTTGTTCAGGATGTGAAGTGTCTCTTCAGGACTCTCTCCATCGATTGGATCTATTGATCTGAGATTTGGACTCAAGTGTTTCTGATCTTTCCAGAATCCCTGATCTCCAAGGAGCAGTTAAAAGACAGATGGATCAAAGGAGGAACATTTGAGCACTGGTTTTTGATCATTGTCTAATCGGAGAGGCAGGGTTGGTTTCATAGGGTGTTCTCTGTCTTTGATTTCAGAGATAATAGGGATAGATGACCAAAATATCATGTTATTTTATTATTGTTTGAATGTGAATGATTTTATTTTATTTTTTATTTTATTTATTTTATTTTATTTTATTTATAGAATATACAGATTATTATAAAAAATAGTGAATGTTTGATCATTGTCTTATTGGACAGGCAGGGTTTATTTCACAGGCCGTTTGCTGTCTTTGTATTCAGAGATGACATTAGGAATAGATAGCATGACCAAAATATCAATATGTCCTTTTATTATTATTTTAATAGCAATATTAAATTAAATTAAATTAAATTAAATTTAATTTAATTTAATTTAATTTAATTTAATTTAATTTAATTTAATTTAATTTAATTTAATTTAATTTAATTTAAAATTTAATTTACAGATTATTATAAAAAAACATAATGAATGTTTGATCATTGTAAAATCAGGCAGGCAGGGTTTGTTTTACAGGCTGTTTGCTGTCTGAAATAAATAAAAACCTACATTTATATTAAATTTAAATCTATATGTTATTATATACATTTTAACTGTGTGTGTGTGTTTTGCATTAAGAATATATTGTGCATAATTAATTTCAGTCATAGTTGTCTATATTTTAGGCATATTTGTCTTTTATTGGAGCCAAGACATTTTTAGGAGCGACTTTATAACATTAGATGTGCCACTTTGCTTGCTGCTGATTGGTTCAGCTATGGTTTGTGATTTCATATGCCAAATAAAACCTGTTTAAGAGCAGGGTAACTTAAATGACCCTTTTTAAGAAAACAAACTAAAATCAAACTTAAGAGATATTTTGAGTTCACCCAAAATAGTTCTTTGCTGGATTTCCCTCAACATTATTTAACATAGAAACCTTCTTTATTATTTTTTTAATAATTTATACGTATGGTTATATTTTTACATGCCTATTTTGTAAAAAAAAAAAAATTCTTACTGTACATATGACAGTGAACACGTGGAATATTTTGTCATAATTTTTTCCTTACTTGCTTCAAATCTGTTTGAGATTCTTTCTGCTGTTGAACATGTAAGATTATATTCTGAAGAATGCTGGAAACCTGTTACCTTTGACTTTTGTAGTCTTCGTTTTTTCTCACTCTGAAAGTCAATGGTTACCGGTTTTCAGCATTCTTCAAAATATCTATTTTAGTGTTCAACAGAAAAAAGAAACTCATGCATTTTTGTAACCACTTGAGGGAAAGTAACTTGTTAGTATGTTTTCATTTTTGTGTGAACTACCCCTTTGCCTGGCTATTTAGTGAAATCTGTTGTTTTTGGCCAGTTATAGTTTAGAATTTTCAGACGGCCAATCAGATTTCTCCAATTTAAACACGCCCCCTCCTCATTGCATGATTTGAGCCCTAGCAATCAGCATTAATCCATTCGAAAGGCTTAACAATAGTCTGCTTATCAGCGCAAAACACGGACCTAATCACATTTAATACATTTCTTTTATATAGAACAAATGAGCTGGAACAATTGCATGAAAGGAAATTAGCTGTTCAGTTATTTGTGCTGGAGAGAGACCAGCATAATAAAAACCGCCTCCCTACTGTGTGTTTTAAGGTAAAGTTCAATCGTAAATGAAAATCCTGTTATCATTTACTCAACTCATGTCATTTAATTTAATATGCGCTGTATTAAAACAGGTTAGAAAAGATTTAAAGCTGCACATTTCAGTTTTTCCCATCCAATTTTGTGAGCTGAGAAAAAATGTAAAACAAAATACTGATATATGTAAGAAAAATGTTAGTTGCTACAATTGGAGAAGCTTTTTTTTCCATATACAATAGCTCAATAACTCAGAGCGCACATACGAAAAGGACTGAGCAGTTATGATATCAGTATACTTGTCTGATGTTTGATAAAGCAATCATGTGAGACGTTCCTACAAGGTAATCATAGCCAACCATTTTGATGATGGACTTTGGCTCAGGCACTTCAGAATGATTGAAACAGCATTTCAGATGTTGTGCGATGAGATTGATGGATTAACTGAAAATCCCATCATCTTTTGAGGCAAAATGGTGTGTTTTTGTTGCACGTCAAGGAGTTTATTCAGTAAATGTGTGTCTTTTTATTATTATTACTATTGAATGTGTTCTTATTGGATAAAATATCTGGCTCGATTGATGGTTGTTTTGTTTAAATGCCTGAATTTTAATTCATGCGCATATTGGCATTTCTATCCAGTGTTTACAGTATGTGACTGAATGAAATTTGCATAAAAAATAGGTGGATAAATTTGTTATGCTGATCCGCCTTCTCAATGACATTACACAAGAACA